CATCTTACAGTGCGTAAACGTCATCCCTCTCACTGCCCAAGGCATCCTTCCTTTCCTAAAAGGTTATGGGAATACAGACAACCCATTTGTGTTGAAGTGATTTAAAATGTTTTCATGTATTATATAAATATGTGAGGACTACGGGCGTTTCCCTAGTCAATTGCACTTTTGCCCTGCCTAGGGCCGTAGAATTCAATGTTCAGTCTTTTGATAAGAATGACATCCAACCAGTTGAAGATAACAACTTCCCTACGAGTCGAGTTTTCCAAGGAATATGCCGTAAAACATCGTGTTAGATGCCTCTGATGTATGAAGTTGTTGCACACTGGGTGGCTAACAAGGTTTCTAACTCCTAGTGATGTAACTGCGAAAGTCAGTGATAGATGTTGCAGCATGTTGTTCAGAAAGCTATGTTGTAAAGCTGTAATGGTAATTTCCCCACGCGGACATTCAGCATTTCACAGCTTTTTCCATCGCCAGACAGGTCACTAAGATTGTACAAAGGGCTCGTAGATGATAACATTCTCTCCATGAATGGATATTTCTGGACGTTTATCGGCAAACCAGTGTCTGTGTTGTAGTAAATATATTGTTATGATGTGTGTGCAGATCATCCCTTGCCGAAGGTGGTGTTAAAATACAAGCTAAGGGGGTACTTTTGTTTCTTCAATAAAGTCACTTAAAGAATGTAGCCGCTTTGACGGGTCTGGTGTCTGATAGACAGGGAGAAATGATGAGAAGTCTTCAATAGCGTGTTGTTCCGGCAACTTGTCTATTTCATCTTGATACGTTCTTGGAATGTATTCGTCCTGGTTTCTGGGTAGTTTAACTGTCTTCATGCGAGATAAAACGTTTAGACGTTACGTGACCACTCCCTCAATAATGGGTTACATGGTTTCTTAGGAAACATTAGTACAGTAGTCGCTCCATTGAGTGCCAAATGAACTCCAAATTGTGAATTAGTGTGTATCGCCATATATCGAGAGATACATGTGTCTCCGATTCGTAGCGCCGTGAAGGACTGACCGTTAAGTCACATTATATGTTCACCACTGGAAGTCGTACACCATCATAGATGTCGGGTGAAGGCGGAACACTTTAAATCAGGAGTAAGTGCTTGGGCATGCTACTCCCATCTGAAGATAAATTATACAATGTCTTCTGTTGAAGCTCTGAAGCTCACAAGGCTGCGCTCATCCTGCACGTCGGTTGAAATTTCGCTTGATATATTTCCTGGGAGTAATTTTTAGTAGAACTGTGCCATGCGTTTTCCGGATTGAGGGGAATTCGCATTTTCTTTGTCATGTTGATCTCAGCGTCATATCATCTGACTGAGATGCACTCTCAGCGTTTTGATGCAGTGGTTTGTGTTTCAGGTCGACTGTGTTGAAATACTGCTATAATGACCATGAAGTAATAGTTGGAGGATAACTCCATCTGCATAAATATTCTACTTTTATGAAAAAGCTACACCTTCCTGAATAGTATCATTCTATGAAGACCGCACATCTCAGGATATAAATATGGTCTATTTTCGTGTGAGGCACAGTTTTTTTGACAGAGGAGTGCTATCAGCATATGGAAATCACCTAAAGAGGCTAACAGAACCTTCTGTGAGAACAAAAGTTATGATGTAGATACATTTTTCACCGTATGTGTGCTTGGACAGGAATTGTTGCAAGTTGAAAGGTTATCTCTAAGTGGATTTAATACACAATTGCACTGATTGGTGCATTGTAATACGGTTTATGTGGATTCATTGCATGAAAAATACCTCAACTTTATAATCATCGTGCGATTGGCTGCTTACCTGAGTGATAGGCTAACAGACTCAGGTGGTTCTCATGACTGTTGCAAGTGCAGCGCAGTTGAGAAGGTAATTACTCATTTAATTTTAATCACTATTTCACTTAGTATATCGTATTATTATGCGCATGAATTGTGTTCATTATGAGAACTGTTTTTGGTTATGTCGTCAATCTACTATCTGTTATACCATTTCCACTGACACTGTGTACTTAATATCTATGCTTCAGTGTTTACCACCAATAATGGAGATGAATTTGTTCTGCGATTTCCATTTACATGAGGCATACAGATGTGTTATCACGGTCGAAAGGTTGTTCTTGCTAATGAAGGTCTTACCTTCAACTATGGTAGTTCGTATACTCAGCAGATCATCTCATGTGTTCCGCTTTTTAAATCGTTTTGTAACATACCGGATAGCATTCAACTTTGCCTTTAGTATGCACAATTCTAGTTAGTGTATTTGGATGTAGTATATTAGGCATTAAGAACCATAATTGGCATCTACCCTTTTTAGAGGTTTCTGATTGCTTTCCGATCTCTTTTTGTTCCCGAAAATACAAGCACAGAATATTTGTACCTCAATTGTGGTTCATCCTTGTTTAATTTGATTCTATTTCAGCATACCAAGTATTTGCTATCTGCTGGTGGGCCCTATTGTGTTATTCACCTCCTTAACTAACAAAGCTTTTTCATCTTCAACTCAAGTTTTAAATTACCCAGGTCTAATGTTTTCTCCGGAAACCAGTGTCTGAACGAACAGGCGGGAAACGGCGTGAATGGATATGACATTCAAGTGCCCTGTCTATTCAGGGAGAAATTAGTACTGCATTGTGTTTCACGCTTAAGTATATTTACCGCAGGATATGCATAAATGAGACAACCTGCGCCAAGTTAGTAACCTCGAATCGTGCTGGCCGAGAGTGTACTTGATTAATGACGTTACTTTTAGGTTGGATGTTGTCACAGGCATGGAAAAGCATCGCTCGTTGAAGGTGAATTAAATTAGCACGACTTGCAGATTGACCTACAATATCACTTTCACTTAACCGAATATAGTTCTGTATCGTGCCTGAGTATGTAGATGAAGTGTAGATCATGTTGTGCTAGAACCAAACCCTAGGTGTGCAGATAGGGAGGACGGACAAAGTTGCTTAAGTGAACCCAACAGACCGAAGCAACTAACCTGCTAGTAAGTTATTCCTTTTGTGTAGAGCACATCCTGGGTTTTGCAAATTGCTTATATCGGTTTAAGCATTTTAGGTTTGCGTTTACAATAGAAAAACTAAACTCAGTGTAACGACAGAAGACAAGAGTCGGGCAACATATCGTTTATTGAGAAAATCAACAGATATTTGTAGATGTTTATGCACATTACTATTCGCTATTGTAGACAGAGAATCAACGTCTTCTGATTGGTCGTTTTTCCGCTGAGGGTTATTCTGTCATCTCTTTGTTGTCGTGTCTTAGACAGTACGGTGATATATCTGCTAATCGTATCCGCCCAGGCTAAGTCTGCTGCGTTTGGTTGTTGAGCTCCTCAAGGTCACGCCTTGATCCTGTCTTTTTTCAGATGACGCCGATTTGGGACGTAAGCATTGACGTAAATCGTTACAATCTTGTCTTGCAGACAGCTCCCGCCTGACCAGTAACGCCAAAGTACTTTCCAGGATTATTACTTACTAAAGCAATGAGAGAGAGATTTCTTGGGTCTTAAGTGGGACTGAATGATCTAAATGGTGTGTTCAAGTCACTACACAGTTGTAATAAGTGCCACTTATAATGAGATATAAGTAGTATATCAGGGAAAGGCAACAACGTGTTTCGAACACTGGAAAGAACAACCGAAGATGAGAACTGCCGGAAGGACGTAACAGCACCGTGCAGAATCCAAAAGCCATCGAATGAGGCGATATTCAACCAATTTGCAAACGATATGCAAATGAGGACTTAAAGGTAAAGTACACCGAACTTGTATATCTGCAGTGCGCTTGTCATCGCTGTTTTCTTTTGTACACAGTTACTTTGCATGGTGTCTTTCGAATACTCGTGAGTGCACAGCGTTTCATTCATTCCTAAAAGCATGATTTGTTACTAGTGTCAGGTGGAATAGTCAAAATTCTGAGGAAAAATAGTGTCAAACCAGTGCTAAATGGGATATCCTGTACCAAAAGCGGAGGACCCCTAAAGCAGTTTGTTGATGCTCTTAGATATAGAGGCATTGATGGAACTTTGTCATACTTTTGGACCAGCATGTCTGTGATGAGCGTACGTCATCCTATGACTAAACGCATTAACTGGTATAACGCTGAAAATGTTCCGATTCAGGAACATTAAAGTTTATGTGGTGTGTAAGCCTGGACGGCAAGATAAGGCATGAAACACATCCAATGCATGTGCTTACTAAGTGACCTGCAGCATAATACATGTATCTATTTGTACGTTAAGGTACTTGGAGTTTGCCGACACCAAAATTCGCTCACCGACTTAAATTTGTTTTCTACAGTAATTTTCAAGTTCATAGAGCCTGATCTTAACCATATTTGTTTACCATCTGATCACCAAAAGTAAGTATTCACATTCGTTAGAATATGTTCACTTTTCCTTATATCGATGAATCATCCTTAAGACACAGATTTCTGTAGAGCATGTGTATCAGTAGCCCGTCGGTGGGTAATCGCAGCTAATATGTCTGACCAAATACGGAGCATTGTGTCCACTTACGAGGAGGCCAATATCTAGTATAATATTTAAGGGTGTGAAAAACATTCCACCTTTATTTAACCACTCATCGTCATCACGCTTTATCTTATACCCAATAGTCGCAGTGTGCACCGAGTTCTTGAAACTCCGGTGCTTGCTTCCACCCGAACGAATCTGCTGCTAAAAGCGAACTTCATATCAATCTTGAAGTGAAAAGTAACTTTCGTGGAGCCCCGATAAACCATTTCTGGTATGACTGCATTTCACTTCATAATGGTCAGAGAATGAATGTCAATATGATGTGGGTTCGTTAGGGAATAGACAGCTTGATTGATTATAGATACTCATTTTGGCCTATAACACAGCTAATTAGTGAAAAGTTGACTGTGCTCACACAGACTCCATGGTCTTAACTTAGGCCTAGAATTATGATTCAAAGTTAGTGAACAGCTTACCACTGTCTGGAGCCCAACATTTAAATGACCGAACTAACCATCCAAAAATCTACAGAAGAATGACACCTATCGCCTCACTATCAGAAAGTGATTGTGAAGAAATTAGTTTGGTCTATGACAGCTTGTAACAAAAACATAGATGCATTCATTGAATGATTCCAACGACCTTTGCGACCGGCAAAATTGGATATTTGTGCCACCAAGTCACTTTCTACTCTTTTGTACCTGATGATTATCCCATTTTCTGTATTTTGTTGTTATGTGGGAAGTTGAGTGCTTGGGATGCTGAGGAGTTGCAAATGTTTGATTTTGTTGAGGAAGTTAAGGAAAATTTTTATGACGTCCTCGGGATATCTCAGGTATAAATATCAATTTCTGTCAGATCATTAATTACCTACAGGATGCTGACAATGCTGAGATAAAGCGTGCATACCGAAAACTATCAGCAAAGCTGCATCCAGACAAAAATCCTGATGACCCTACTGCAGAAGCTAAGTTTCGAAGACTTGTGGGTATTTATGAAATCCTCAAGAACTCAGAACTACGTATAAAGTAAATTCGTAGAACAAATGATAATTATTCTTCCTAGATACGATGAAGTGTTAAAAAATGGTTTGCCTAGCTGGCGTACACCAGTTTTTTATTATAGGCAGCTACGAAGAATGTCAAACTATGAATTGTTCGGGTTATTTTTTGCGTTGGCTACTGTAATCCACTATGCCGTGCTTTGGGGTTCAGTTTTCGAAAGGCGGTTAACTTTGGTATGCAAATTTAGCAGTTTTTATGCAATTATAGGAAGATCAACTGAGTAGCTCTTTGAAAAGACATAAAGCACGGGATAGAAAGTTAGAATTGATAAACCAAGAGATATCAGATGAACTTAAAAAAATCCCTGGCCCTGGATGGAAAGATATACTCCCGTTTGCTATTGTCAAATGGATATATGCTATTGTCACTTTCTTCCCTATTCTGTTTTCGTTTATAAAAGAAATGTTATTTCAAAAGATCCAAGAGCGTCGTGAGTTAAAGGAAGAAATGAGGAGTAAGTAGAAGTAATTTTTATATTTGTATTTTTAGTATTTATTCTCCGATTTTGATAAAAACGTTTACCTTAAGATTCTTTAACTATACGCTTACACATACTGTTGAACTCATGTTGCTTTTATGCATTTCAGACTAGTAATTTTAATAATTCAAGCCCCCAGAAACAGCCGAAGCGAAATAGCCTGTTAAATCAGTCTAAGTGGTTATCTGCGTAAATATCTAAAATGAATTTAGACCAAGTTAAATTTATAGCACTAATAAGGAGCAATGGAGTGCGATGCATCAATGACCTTAAAACATTCATTGAGCAAGTTACTGAAACCTGGCAAATAATATTGCAACCATTATTAAAGTATGCTTAATGAAGTGTTTTGATATTAAACGGGATATCTGATAAGTGTCAGGTTAGGTTTGAGAAATATTCAGTTAAGGTTTAGGCTAAGTGCATTTTGAAGATAGGCTAACCTAATAAGGGTGAAATTGGATTAGGATTAGTTTCGGGATATTCTCACATAAGGGTTATTGTATAGAATGTGACTTAATTATTCTGTCAGCACTCTTATCCAGGACTAAGAGGTATTTTTGTCACACATCAGAGAAGGGTACCCTGTGTAACAGTTTCATGCATTTTAATTCATTGTTTTCATGAAAAAGTATTTTATACGCCAAAATCGCCTTTATCATATGGTTGGGGTATTTAAGATCATTTATCCGTTGGCACTTTCTAGTACTTTAAGTTTAATTTTGCCTAAATGTTTTTCACGGCATAGGTAATTACGAGTTGGCTTTTCTTAGCCTAAGTTGCATTCTCAACAGTATCACTTTGTGCTGATTCAATGAGAAACTTAATGTTAGTAAATATTCGTGGTAATTTCTGACTTAGCAGTAGGTATATGAGTGATTATTGACTCCAATGATATACACTCTCTGTCTCGCACTTAAACTGACCAAGGGACGCTAACAATTTACGTGACGCAAGCACCAAAGACAAAATACTGAGGGCGAAATAAGAAAGATTACTGTTAGTTACTGCATATAATAAACAGTACAATGAGCACCACCAGTTTCAGTAGAGATTTATTGTTAGAATATAAGGCGGCGAATTTTGTGGGAGGTGCATGATGTAGGAGATAAACGAATGAGATTGCGTCCTAATATAATGATGAAGGTGAGTAGTACCTCCTAGCCATCTACACCATAGCAACTTTTCTTAAAATACCTGAAAAAACCTAGTCCACGGTGTATTTGTTGAAGACTAATTATTGACGTACTCCTTAAGAGCAGATTGTGTATATCTGCTATAACAGTCAGCCAGCAATACTTATTTATTAAATGTTTTCAGGGCATTGACTAAGGAGTTTTCGTCTTTTCATAAACTTAAATAGTCATGTGGTGTAGTCGGTCGAAGGCGTGACTGATATCAGCCTACAGTTGATGTGGTCTTTATCTGGAACATTTATTTGTTGTCGTTTCTGAGCTTATTTTAGCCTACTTGCCCTATTCAGATATAGCTAAGTGATCAAGTTGAAAATAACACTAACATACTCTGGCTCATACTTCAGCTAGTGTGAATATTCGTTTGATATAAGGCAGGAATAATGCGAATTGGAATATTTGCGGCTTTCAAGTTTTATAGTTTCTATTATTTTATGCCTGATTTATGCGATTATTGTTATCATCACGACTATCTATAGGTTTCTTATGTTTGGAAGCTAGTTGTCAAGAGGAGGTCTTTCGTATGGCAGTTCGGGTTACACATTGTGTAGTATAATGGCCACATGGTCACCGTTTTATAGTAAGAGTCTAATTGGCTAACTGACTGACTGACTGGTTTCAATATAGAACTTTGCACCGATATGCAGCAGTTCGAGTCGCCACACTCCATCCCGGTTATAAGAGTTTTCACAACTATCATATCAATCTCTTAGGCTGTTCTCTATCGTTTGAAGTACGTGAAGTTACTTAGTGTACTCGTTTAGAATCTGCAGAAGAGCTGAATAGGCGGTTAAGGAATTTATATGGTATGTTCATAAATCATAGTGTTTTTGTATTCACCCATTATTTTATCCTGAATTATAGTTCATCTCCCATTTGTTTTTAGTCTATTGGTGTTTTTGTTAGTTTAGTAGTGTTGATCCTACTTTCCTGTGTTAATGTAAAGTATAGTGATAGACAACCTTTTGTGTTTTTGGTCGTCTGGTGAGTGTTTGCATCATCGCGTTTCTAATGATGCACGCCAACCTTAAACTGAAAATTAGGCAGCACAAGAAAAATCTACTTCTCAAAGTTGGAAGATGTAGACTTCTTTAGAAAAACTAGGTGTGATTGTAGGACAGTACGTAAACACATAGCAGTCGGAATTTAGAACATTTCCTTTTTTGAGATAATTTCTTCTCAAGATAAATGAGAATAGAGGGAAAAACAAGTTAATTAAAAGATAGGTTTTCGTTCTCGTTAAGCGTAAAACTTGGCTAAGGCAGGATAAAAATTTTATGAAAAAATCTTAAGATAAATATTCACACACACCACCACTTGCTGTAAATTTCATAAAAGTGGTGTACAAGTATTAGTTATTTTAATCAAGCTTTTGCGTTAATAACATTTAGAAATTCATATTATCCACTAATTTATATTTTAGTTATCCAGAAAAACAAAGAAAAACTTAAGGCTGAAAAACAGGAACGTAAGCGTCGTTTACTGCAAGAACAAACAGTTCTCAAAGAAGTTGAGAAAGAAGCCGGCCAATCAACTATAAACTCTGTTCTCACTGATTTGCCAGATATTGAAACTGATAGTTATGAAGATGTTTCAAAAAACAATTCGAGTACACCTATTTTTCAAGAGGTATGTTTCGTTTTCATGCTCTCAATTACGTTTTGTTGTATTTGGGACAAAAATTTTATTACATTATCTAGGTGAATTACCGAAAAATAACAACCAGTGTAAAATCAGTTCTTTGTGTGTACTGAAGACTGGATAGAATTCCAACAGGATCACGTAGTAACTTGGTTTATTAATCATCTCCGGAACCAGGGATTTCCACGGTTTTCAAAAGGAATTGACACCTGTCTTTCACTCCGTAATATCACTTCATAAACTCCATCGACTTTCCGGCTTCCATTCAGTCTCACTGTCAGCAAATAGCGCTCATTATGGGAGCTGTTGGAATAGTAAAAGTTTCACACTGGCGATTTTTCTTTGGTAGAGGCGTAGTAATTAAAGTTGCTTGTGTATTGACATTTGTGTTTTTGTTTTCGCGGTAATGCGTGATAATCCAGTATTATTGTTAGTTAATTATCTTTATAAATAACTTGATTGGTCCTATCATTCGTTGGGTCTTCACTCGAATTTTGGGAAATTCTTTTCTGTCACAAGGCTCCCTCAGAATTGAATGATTTCCGAGTAGTATCCATATCATCACAAAGTAGCATCAGTTGGAGAATTATTGAAAACCATGGGGGGCTGACCAGCTGTTTTATCGTAGTTTGGGACTCTTCAGCACACTATGCACCCATAACCCTACCAAGGATTGAATCCAGAACCTTCAGGTTGCGAGACCAGCCCGTTGGACATTTAGTTACTGGATCAGAATTTAGTGACCCTTGAATATAAACTTCTGTCAGTTTATGATATACAACACTACCGCTAACGAATGCTACTAATAAGCATCCACGCCAAGGTGAAGTGAATAGCCTCATGACCTCAAAGTCCTGGGTTTGATCTCTGACAAGGAAATGGGTACCCACTCTTGAAGAGTCCTCAAGTGTCTGTTTGGTGCACCGTGATTTTCTGTGGCTCTCTAACTAATGCTGGTTTGTGACGAAGTCGATGTGTAAACGAATTGAAATCCCTATAAAATCCACAATCTAAATTCATCTGTTTTATCTGGAAAATAATGTACGTAGGTTCAGTGGTGTATGTTAATTGCACATAAACTGTGAAGAGAGTACTGATCAAAATTCGAATGGTTTAAAATAATCAAGTTGTTCACGTTGAGGATTTTACAGAAGGAATGATTAAAGTCTCACTCACAGTATCGCAGTAAAAGTGCTATTACGAAGCTATTTACATTCTAATTTCTTTAGAAATGAACAAGGCTTGTAATTGAGCATTGGAGCCCATTGTTTTCAACTAACTTTGCTGGATTGCAATATGACGATCGATCTAGGGATATCTAAATCACATTGCTTTTCATTATCTGTGTGTGAGTGCAAAACGTGTAGTAGTCAGTCTATAATCTACTACTATATGGATTTATAATAATCACCTTTATTTATGCAGTCATATGACAGAAATTTTGTTGTATCATAGATGAGGTGAGAAAAAATGTGACCCAATTAACCCGAATTCCATCTTGCTTAATTTCACTTTTGTGTATACTTGTAATCGACAACTTTATTTTTCTTTGGTTTATAAAGGTCCCTTCAGTTACTACATATTCCATTCTAGTAGTGATGTGCGTGTTCAGTATATTCATACAGAGTTGTTATAAGTCAGTCACAGGTTCACAGACTGAATTGGAAAACTCATTTTACTTTCTATGTAGGTACTGGCTTACGAGCCTAACGAAACAGAGCCATCAGTCTAGTTTTGGTCAGATGAAACTAACAGTGACGTGTTTAAAAGTGAACATGTACACTACAATATCATACCTTCCTAGGTAGCTATTTAGTTCAATTTAGATCTTCCCGCCGATTGATTGGACCGAAGTGCTCGACCTTAGGTTGACATGTCGGCTCCTTGTGCAGATACTTCAACAATGTCTGGTCATGTAACTTGAAGTCAATTGGTGGATGGGCACTAGAACGAAATACGCATCCTGGATTCCACTGCTAGTCAACATCCACCAATTGAATTCCTGGGCAACGTTTTAGGAAAAAGATTTGTATGAAAAAGAGAAGACGTTCAGCGAAGAGACTCTTTTCGGCGAATTCATTCACATCGCTGTACAATCGCGTTTATACATGATTATTTGTGTGTGTGTGTACATGACGTTTGTCAAGTTTAGATAATTGATCAGGTAATAAAAGAATGATCTAACATAGAAACAAGGTTAATCAGACAGCAACTAAAGTAAGATTGAGTTAGTAAGTTAGATGACGTAATATAGTTGACTAAAATGTTTCAACTTAGATCAGGGTAGCAACAGAGGTAACTACATGTAGAGACTAAGTAGAAGTGGGGTAGATAATAATGCCATTTAAATTAGAACTGAAATTGAGCAAATAAGTTGGATGACACAACATAAATGACTAGAAAATGAGCGTTGGTCAAGTCAGTAACAGTGGTAGAGAGGTGTAAAAATTAAGTCGGGTGGGGGTAAAGAACGAGAAAGTTGAAAATGTATAATATTACAATTGAGAAGACAAAATAATACTAATGAAGAGACAGAAAAAAAGATTAGCTAAAATTTACTTGTCGGGTAATAAGATAAACTAAGTCCATTGCAAGTATAGTGATTGAACGAACTTCTTCTGTATGCAGAGTTCATGGCTTAGCAAGTGAACCGCCATTGCTTTTGCAGTTTGAAGAAGTCTGATTCGTACACCTTTAGGAAGACTGCCTCGTATTCTGTAGACGACTTTGAAATTTGTTTGCGGTTTAGCTTGGTTTCCGGATCCTATCAGATGTTCTAAGATGGAGCTGCTGGGACATCGTTTTTCTCCTTTGTAAAACCATATTGGTAAGTGTTCGGTGATACGTTTGGAAAGCGAACGCTGGGTACGGCCGACATAGCTGGCTCCACACGAGCAGGTGAAGTGATAAATACACATTGATGAGGCCAGCAGTAGTAGCTTATCCTTCACGTTCACATGAATCGTAGGTTTTATGGAGAAAGTTAGTCGTAGTTCAGCTGCGAAGAAGGTCTTCTTGAGTGAGCGCGACAGGCGATTTTTCAGTGTTTCCACAGATATATCTTCATTGAATTGAAGGTTCATGTAGAGTAGTTTTTTCGGGACGCTAAGTATGGGCGGCTTTTGTGGTCTAGGATTCATAGATTTTGCAATAAATCTTTCTGGATAACCACTGTGCGTCGGTGGCACAGTGGTTAGTACTCCCGCCGATCATGCACATAGTCCGAGGTTCGATCCCCTGCCGACACACACCTGATATCTATGGTCGGCCTGCAAAATTTGGGCTACCGATATCCATGCTGAAAATTCCATACTTGTACCAAAAATACAGTGTAGAATCAAGCTGTAATCAAAGATAAATAAATAAAAATTCTTGACGAGGATTCTCTTGAGATTGTCCAGTTCATCTTCTATGGTGTCCGGGGTACAAATTTATGCTCCTGTCAGTCAATTGTGGGTATGTCTTACGAATATAATAAATCATATGATAGTGTTTACCTACATATTTCTGTTGCGTAATCCATTCCTAAAAGTAGGTTAATATTGGTTATCTATTATACATTGTATCACTAGGCCTTAGAAAATAAGTCTACTATTTACGCAATAGTATCTTAACTGCGAAACGTGCAAATCATGACCGGACACTGAAAGTAACTCTTGAATCATATATATCCAAACCAATAAAACTTAATTTATCAATACATTATATGCTTTGTTACTTTTAAGTGGTCAGAGGTCGATGTAAACAACTTAGTTCGTGCTGTGATTCGATATCCCGGCGGTGTACCTGGAAGATGGGAACGTATTGCAGAGTCTTTAGGTCGTAGTGTCCCTGATGTTGTTCGTAAGGCGAAGTCTTTAAGCAAAGAACTATTGTCTATATCTCAAAGAAGTAAGTAAAATTCAATTGTATAAAAATTAAATATCGTGTTGCATTATCTGATTGGTGTATTGCCTTTTCTGATAATGAGAATAGTTTCACCCGTGTCTGATAAAAGCAGTTAGTTATTTTTATATTATTTAGTAATTGTATACAAAAATTACTCATCAAATGAGTAGCCAGTTGGTAACAGGATTCTTCATGTTCATTGGTATTTTTATCATCAGTACGAAATGTGTTAGATCCTCAGTCTAAAAGTTTCTGTTGTAAAGTATCTTGTGTCACGTGTACCTTAATATTATTTTATTTACTTTATTGAACACGGAGTAGAAGCAATAATTAGTACTCATAGAACTAATTCTTACAAACGATTTGTTTTAACAAGTTAATTCTAAGTATAATAGCATAACAGTAATTATCTTTACACTGGTAATAAAGCAGTTATACTGAAATACCAGATTCTGTATTATTTTTCTCCAGATTTGAGCTACCATCCTGACACTTGTAAACAGTTAAAACCCTTGTTTAATAGAATGCAAAATATGCTGTGTATAAAGACAAAGTTTTCCTCTGCCTTGTTTACTGAAGCTGGACTCCCTCGAAGTTTTGTTTCCTCTCCTCTTTTTTTCTTTCTTCTTACATGACTTGCCTCCTTCGGATGAAATCAACTTTGTCTCATTGACAGTTATTTCCCTATCTGACTGTTTCAAAATGAATAGTTTTCTTTGTCGGACATCAGCCAGTGGTCTAAACTAAAAATGGTCTCAGCTTAAATCTCTCTAAATGTCAGACAATTAACTTCACCTGTAGGCATAAACGAAATCTACATGAACTGGTATGCTCACATGATGGTTGTGGCATAGACAGCACTGAAATAGAAACTAAGTCAAGCATAAAATATCTTGGAATTGTTATATTCTCAAATATTTTCTGGTCAAACCATCTCTTGTCGATTTCTAAGAAAGTGTTCCTTCTAACCTGCAACATAAAGAAGTTAAGACGTTCTAGAATCACCCAACCTTTATTTTTTATAATTTTTTAACTCTTACATCTTACCTATTGTTGTTTATTGCTCCCCCATTATTTTTTACTGGACTACTCAAAAAACGACCATGTCACATCGTGGAAGGTATTAAAGATTGTCTGTAGAGCAAGTAGTGTGCCAATTAGTCAACTCGTTACAATTGTAGTCGACAGACACCCGAACCCATTCGTGGAATGGTCTAATTCCATATTGTCTAAATCTCAACACCCTCTCTATTCTCAACACTACTCCCTTCTCTTGAATCTCATCAGGTAGAACTAGAAGTAATTATAAAAGATTATGTGCTCTTCTCTCTCAAAATCAAATACGGAAACTCAACGATACTTTATTCGGCCAGCCCGTGTTCTATGTGATAGTGATGCTTGCCGCTCATTTCATCGTTATAGTCGAATGCCCCCACTATATATAAAAGATACTTGGAAGACACGATGCTGTATTTGTAAACTCCTCTTTCATTGGATGATTCTTGCAATCATAGAGTAACAAAAAACAGTTCATTGTGGTAATTCAGTGCACTAGATAGATTAGTTGCAGATTAATTCTAAAATATCATATTAACAAGTGAGTTATGTTGGCCATTGCTCTAGGAACTTGATTTTGCGTTCTCGAGAACATCTACCATTGTGGCTAAATAAAGGTGTAGTCAAAACAAGTCTTATTTTCTCCACAACTGGTGGTGATTTCTCAATTGAAATATGAAGTACCTAGACTAATTGTATCTACCAATTCAACTGCGCTAGTGGAGCGAGTTATATTAGCTGTTACTCTAAGAACTTGATTTTTTACGTGTTTGGGAACATCTACAAGTGTGGCTAAAGAAATAATTCTCAATGGATTTTATTAGTTAGTTTGTTGATTCAATTTTACCTATGATAACACAGTATTTATTATTTATGCATAAAAACAAAAACTTGGTACATTACAGGTATTAAGATATATGCTACACAAAACCTCAGTTTGCATGAGGACTGAAGTAATACCCGGACGTCCAGACCGGAGCAGGTGACTCTATTAAGGGGCCACTCTCTGAGCCTTTGACTGGAAGTTTGATCCACAAGGCAGTGGAAGTGCATTTCAATGGTTTATATTTATATTTTATATTTCAGTGCATTTCAATGGTTTCAGGTGACCAAAACAGATTTAATACGCCATTCAATCCATTCGGATTTTGAAGCCCATGTATATGATATGCTGGAAATTTAGGTTTTCTAGCTCCCTTAGGTAAACCTGCATGTCCACAATTCTGGTTGTGGCCGCAAGACGTTTGCATTCACGCTTTCACTTTTATGAAGGACACTCACCATGTAAAGGCAATGAACAGAGCTAACCTGGCAGAGGGTATGAACGTGTGACCGCGCGAGAGCATTTCGAGAGGAAAACCGAAGTCTACATACCCTCAGCCATACCATGTCGCTTATATATCGCAACAGTATGTATTAAATAAGGTTTCAGGTACAATTCTACGCTTCTTGCTATATAATTATTACCATTAAACTGCACAGTTGTACTGATATGAATATAACATTTAATTGCGCTGAACTGACTAATTTATGATATGGGTTGCATTGGATTATATAGGTAATTCAGAAGTATTTGTTTAACTTTTTATTGCATTTTTAACTCTTGGTCACAAATTTGTTGTAATGAGTATATTTTATCCGCATACTTCACTTGATTGTCACAAAATATGTCTGACAGGCGCTTTCGAACTTTTATTCAATCCTTTCAGCATCTTCACCTATTAAAAATTTGAAATCTGCAAACTTCAATTTTAAGTAGAAGATGTTTAGACGAAAAAAATGCTATTTGAAAGACTCATGGTACACTACTATGGCCAAGTTAAACTTTAAGCACCACCAACTACCAATGGAGTGCGACCGCACCAATAACTTTGAGACGCTCACTGAGCAAGTTAATGAAATCCAGCAAATAATGTTGCCATCATCAATAAAATATACTAATCGAAGTGTTGTGCTCTTAAATGGGATATCTAGCAAGTTTCAGCTTAGGTTTGGGAAAGATTAAGTTACCCTTTAAGTCAAGGACAAGTTAAGGTTAGGTTAACCTAACAAAGGCTACAGTGGATTTGATTCAAGTTAGATTACAGCTAGTTTAGGAATATTTTCACGTTAGGGTTAGATTCAGGAAAGATTAGGGTTAGAAGACCTAAATAATTACATGCATAGAATGTGGTTAAATTTCTCTGTTGATATAATAATAGAACTTGTGCACTGTGGTAGAGTATAATTCTGTTGTGAGCAAAATTTATGTTGATAAAGTCTCAGGGTGTCATACAGTCACATTTACTGATGAAGTTTCGAGCACTATTTATTGCTCAGTAAATATTACTGCATAATATTATGAGGCTTAATCAAAATAAATTTTACCCACAATGGAATTACACTCTGTTGATACACCAACCTAAAACTGAGAGCTATTTTAATCACATGTGAGAGGAAGGTATCCTCTGTAGCACTTTTATACAGTTTTTATGCATTTTTTCATAAATATATTTATTCCATACACAAAAGCGCCTCCTTCACGTGTTTGGTGCGTTCGAGGTCATTCGCTGATTGGTAGTTAGTGGTGCTTAAAGTTTAAATTTTGCCACTACTATTAGAACATTCGAAATAAAAGAATTGAGATACTAGGTGTTCGCGGTGTGACCATCCACTTGTCGCCATTGTGTAGGGGGAATTACATGAAGCTTTTCCTTCCTGTTTTCTTTCAAGCAAGTTTCAAGATATTGACCATGAGTGAACATCTAGTCAATAAACCTTTCGAAAATGTGAAATTTGAATTAGTTCCTCTCGTTATATATTTTAAGTCAGTTTTTGATTCTCCCGCTGATTGATTGGACCAATATAGATCTCGTGTTCCAGCTGCTGATGCTTTTAAGTTTAGAATGAAGGGTACTGGGTCCAATTCTCAGTGGGAACACCACCACTTCTCACTGGGCACTGCAGGTACATCTAGTTTACGAGTCCGGAATAGGACGAATCGTACATCCTGGATTCTACTGACAATCACCATCCACCAAACTACTTAGTTCCTCTCCTGTTTACTAAAATAATACAACTATCGAGTTCAGTGCAAATGGATTGTTTCTACTATCTGTAATAATAATACAATTAGCAATTGTATTATTAATTAAAAACTTATTGAGTTTATTTTTCTTTTTTCTTAACTATTTATTTGAGTTATGAAAATATTTAAGAATGTAGTGCCAAAAAGTCTTTTAAACAATTAGGCTTCTGTTAATAATATTACACTGGAGAATATTAATTAGTCTTAAGTAGAATACGAAAGTAAGTGAAAATTACTTCTGTGGACTTCAATACACTGAGCATAAAATTTCTTAAATCTCATACAGTTTCTATTTCCTAGTTTAAATTGTACACCACAACATACCATAAACTTCATTTTATTGGTTGTCAGTAAAATATCAACGCTCTTGCAGGATTTTTATCTATGATTTGTCAAATTCTACTTTAACAGAACAATACTTTAGTAATTGGTAGCGGGATTGATTGTTCATCGAAAAATTGATATATATATGGCAAGAAATATATGAGTTAGTTTGTAGGGATTTGATTCGGATCGGGCTCTAGTGTCTGAATGGTCCATGAACTTGCCTTGCAACCGGGAGATACTCAGTTCGAGCTTCATTAGGTCCGTGCCAATGATGAGTCCCGAACTAGGACGAAGCATGTGTCTAGTACCCCTTGGTTTCCAATGGTTATCCAACTGACAGTAATCCCTGGTCAAACTTGATATGTATTTATACATATCTTGTATTAGAATCACACATAGCACATGATCTTATTGTGCTTCTTCTGCCTACCCAATGTGTCCCCCTACTACTTAGTTTTATTACAAAAGACATCACACACAATATATTCCTTAGAGAATTTTGTCAGTAGCACGTGATACACTACTACGAAGAAAGTTCTAAAACTGATTAGAA